GCCACAATTTATGGTATGTACTCCATATTTTTTGCGAGTGCACATCTCAAATTTTGTTTAAAAAAATCTCAACCATTAGTTACGTTTTAACCAACTTTTAGTTTAACGACCTTTTCACTTATCGGAGTAATTTTGTCTGATGAGAGCAGTGTTACAGGACTTTTCTTATTTGTCTGCCGCTATGAAGGTCGTTGATCAACTACAATGGATGTGCTGTAGCAATTGAGGTTGCAAATAAAAAACCCTTTTCTAAATTTTTACATGACTCGTCATCGTATTTACTGTGCGGATCCTAACACGCCTTGCATTCAATTCGTTTACTCGCATTCATCGTTCACATTGGTCTTTGAACATTTCGAGTACTGGTTCGGCTTCTGCTTGAGGATTCGGTCTTCTTTATGAATGCCGTAGACTACTGGTTGATTAGTTTCTCTTTACAATATTGGAGATGGCCAAGCTACGGCGCTCCCACGTGGATTGGAAGAAAGCGTTGAGGAGTGAGTTGAACCAGTACGCTATCCTCTAATGGTCCTCACCACTAACTACAGCGCTACTCTACCCTATTTTTAATAAAAAAAGCAAGTCTGAGAGCTCACCTCGTTGATAAGTGAAGCGATGAAGACGAGTTCCCGCCTCCGGTCGATGGCAAGTGCCGACGGAGTGGAGAGGAGTGACTCGTGAAGTGTAACTGTGCGTCCGTCGAAGAAGTACAACGCTCCGAAGCCGCTCTGTAAACACTTCATGGGCTTGTCAACGTGATCGTGAAAGCTTCATCAGCAGTATCGTTATAGCAAATCGCCTAACACTTGCTGAGCAATATGTGAGAATGACCAGCATTGCTGGTCACTTGCACAAGGAAAAAACAAACCAGATTAATATCGATTGTTTCATTTAGGGTTCTAATAAACCTAAATATCAGCTGTTGTACAAATTCAGAAAAACAAGTTAAATAAACAAATTTCTAGAATGTTTTCAAATGCATGACCCTCTTCATGAACTCTTCTATTTCTTTGTTTTGTCTGTTACCGATAGAAGTTCTTGGATTTGCGTCGGGATTCGAATTTCACCTGAAAGCTTTGTCTTCTTGAACGGCGTCGCCGAATGGTGCTCAAATTTATATCCTGGAATCTCGGAATGTGGGACAGCTCTGCTGGAGTGTTCCCAGTTCTTTAGCCCAGAGGTAGTTGCCACCGTTCGTGGATAAAAGGGAGCGTTTCCAAACAGACCTGATAGGTTTCTGTCGATTCTGGATGGATAGGCTACTTGATCGACTCGGGCCTAAGTCAAAATAATAACAGTTAGTGCACTGAACGGTATTTCTAACCAGTGCACTTTCTGCCCCCAAATAAACAAGCAAACAAGCCAGAATAAGTGAACATCTCTAAGCAAAGGTATGCATTAATGAATTAAGTTACCTGCATAATTAACTCAGCTGTTTGGACTATTCCTCTACTCATGTAAGCGAGATTACTGATGAAAAATCGGTCTGGTCCCACCGCCAGCACATCATAGGCACTGGAAGCATTTAAGCTTAACTACTATCTGCTTATGTTTGTTTACTGCCGGTTTGTTTAGAAGAAGTAAATGATGCATTATGAAGTCGAATTTATAAAAACTTGAACTTTACTTGTTACTTGAGTGGCCCGTTTTCACTGGTTGTGTGGGCCCCAGCATAATCTCCATTTTTCGGAGATTTGCTGGTTAAGCCATTGTGGTCTCCTGTTATCCCGACGTCAGCCTGGCCAAAGTTTGCCCACTTCACCACCACAAGCAGTCGCAGCCTTTGTGGATCACAGGGAGATTTGCCACCATGCGACTTTGATACCACGACGGTGGTGGATTTCGGTATTGGTTCACTCTTAGCTAGGAAACTGACGGACTCCTTCTTAACTTGTGAAACTCTGCCAGGAGATGAATTCCCGGCTGTATATCGCAGTCCGACACCCAGGAACGTCTCCCAGCCACGATGAGGCGGTAAACCGTTAGGAGGCATAATAACTGATGTTAGTTAAAGAAACGATCGCAAGAACAATGAAAAACTAGGATTGGTCCTCGCGAGTATTCAAATTTCATAAACGAAAAAAGGAAAAAAAACTCCATAAAATATGACAAGTACGTGTCACATATTTGCGTTTAGTCCTCAGGTTAGTTGATGGGTTAGGAAAACTGACGGCTGGAGGTGCTCTACCAGTTTGTTGGCATGGCTGTCTCACCTGGAAAATCTCGGATCGCAGACGGATTTCCTATGAAACAACACATTTTTTTCTTTGCTGTAAGTGAATATCTCCACACACTGCCGTTTGAAGTGAGTATTAACCACGTAAAGAAAAAGACGCCGTTCACTGTAGTGCGACGACAATCCGAGCGGAATAAATTCTTCCTGAAAGTGTTTAGTCTTATGATAGAAATAACACTTGACATATTATAATCACTTTTTATTAACCACCTATTGCTTTCTCATGGCAGAGTAGTAAAGGATAAAGGATAAAGCTCCCGACATTGATCTATCTTTGAGAGATGCGCCATACATTCGACTTCATTAAGCACCGTTGGAGATGACTGAATGCATATCTGGCCTTTGCAATGACTCACGGTGGCCTTCTAATGCGTAGAACCAGTACAGCTATCCTAAAAGACAAATCTGGTACCAATTTGTCCACCCCAGAGGAAGGGAGGTCTTGGGTGTAGGGATCGATTCCATGTGCATTGCAGAGCGCCTCCGACCACTGTGTTACACGCGCCCGATAGCAGAGGATGATGTGAAATACGACTACACTACTGTGCAACTAGTAGTTATACTTCACATAATACCCTACCATGAGAAAGGAATGCGCAGTAAAGAAAAAGTGATTCAATTTTAATTCCCAAGGTCGACTTTCTATTAACCTCGGGATCGATTGATAATTCATTGCTTTTTCTCAATGGGCAAATACAAGATTGGTATTACAGAATTTGTTAACACACAACAGCTGACGTTTCGGCAGTTTCGTTCTCTTCAGAACCTGGAAAGGTTAAATTGACATGCAATCTACTAAGCCAAGCACTTTCCTCCATTCCTGGGTGAGGATAGCGACTCTTACTTCAAAATCTTCTCCGTTATGTTTCCGTATCCTATTCGTGCCTAGTAGGTGTTTAGTTGAGCCTCCAGGCTCTGAAGAAGGCGAAACCGCCGAAACGTCAGCTGTTGTGTGCTAATAAATTCTGCAGTACCAACCTCGTGTTTGCTCATTGAAGAAAAACAGTGGATTACATTGTGATTTATAATACAGCATCAGCTTAACTTTGTTCAGTGCCGATTTGTGCTCCCCAGATCAATCCCGTTCACGGGTGATTGCTGATAGCGCCTATAAAACAAGGCTGAGAGAAACACGAAATGATGGTGTAGTGGTGAACAATTTAGCCCCCAGAAAGGGTAATAGAGTGTTCGATCCTCACCGCATACATCTGCGGTCGTGAGTTTTGCAAATATCTCAGCATCATTGTACTTTACATAATCTCATTCGTTGATGATAAAAACAGAAAGAAGAAAGTGAATACACTAGCAACGCTGGGAATGTATGATATAGAGAAAATGTAAAAAAAATTGGATATTTCGATGGAACGATTACCGGATCGAATTTTTCGCCTTCAATCTTTATTGGCCTCGCCTCATATTTCGCCATCTCCTTCTCCAGTTGCAGCACTGCCAAACCAGGTCGTGATGACCTATTACCGTACGCTCTTGCCAGCCCTGTGGAGATAAACACCAAGCCGATCTCACGAACAAGTTCCATGCCAGCAGAGCCATCAGCTTAAAACAAAAACAATGGTAGCGTCATCCATCATATATTAACAGTGACAACAATATTTCAATAACATTAATACATCTAATATTGTGAATATCAATACGTGGTAAAAACAGTGGATCAATGAAGAAAATATGTCTGGCAATAATGATAAAAATAATGATAACAACAACAATAATAATAGTGACAATAATAACAATAATGACGGCAATAATGATACAGTAAATAATGCTTAGTAATTAATAAAACGATAAAAAGAATAAGGCACTCTGCTTCGTCAACTCCTGAGGGTTGCTCGATGCATTCCACTTCATCAAGCTTCGTTAGGTGGGAATGAATGAATGATGAAAGTGATTTTAAATGAGTATATCTGGCCTATACAAGGATTTGTGATGGCCTAGCGATGACCTATCAAATCGGCATTGCTACCTTTCCAAAAAGATCTGGTACTAATTTGCCGACCCCTAAGGAATGAAAGACTTGGTGCGTGTAGAGCGTGGGAATAGGCCAACGATCATGCCTGTGTTGGCGCATCTCTAACCACTAAGCTACACGTGTCCCTAATGGTTAGTAATAATGATTAATAACAATAATAACACAAGTACAAGTAATGCGGTGCGTGTAGTGCAACGGTTAGAGCTGCGCCGCAACCGATACAGAGTCATTGAGCAACTCCTCGTCACTAGTAAACCAAACCCTACATCGCTCCGCAGTCATAAAGTTAGTAAGATTCTTATCTGAGAAAACGAGAACACTCAGTTGACCCGAAAATTATTATGTAGGGCGGACTTACATTCGGTTACATCTACGATGCCACTTAGTCGAATGCACTCTACGGGAATGACCAACGCCGAAAACCTTTACTTCAACGCTGTCAACAATAATAATACCCAGACGAGGTTCTGCTATTATTAGCCTCTATAAAACCATTCATTAGTTTTGTTCCCTTATATATTTTTTATACTCTTTGAGAAGTCGAGTTAATGATAGACCCTAGTAAATAAGCAAAGAATAAAATATGTGGAGAGAAAGGAAAAAGACTAATGTCTTACAGATTCCGTTGACGACACGACACGGTCCAGGTGTGTGATTGTAGACGCGCTTGTTTAGGTCTAGCATGAGTCTGTAACTGCTTAGACTTATCACCGTCAAGTAAGCATCGTAAGACACTTGACCTAAGTGCTAGAGCTCACACAGAACGCAGAGGATTCGGGGTCAACTCACATGAGTCGGATGACGCAGCTGCAGATGAAGGCCAGCATCAGCCAGACGGCCATGCGATGTAACATGCTGGACACCGAGTTCGGTGGCCGCCACATCTGCTCTGTTCCTCACCTCGTAGAATTTGAACACCCTTTCGTCTCCAGACACAAAGCGTGACGCACTTTCAGAGTCGTCGTCGTTGTCGTTACCTTCTTCGGAGCACGAAAATAAAAAAAAAATACGAAGGATTTACACTGCTCAACATTATTCCGAAAGCAAATCGTACAGCAATGAACTAATTTACTACTTATGACACGAATGTGATAGGGTGTGTTATGGCTTCCGCTGGCAGCTTCTCTAACGATTTCAGAATCAAAGTGTTATCGGTGTAAGACTAATAATATCGCAACATTGGAGAGAAATGCGTAAAAACGCTTTAAAAACTTTTATAAATGATGTCAAGAGTTCTTTTATATTCTGGCATGATCTGTCTTCACATGCATTGTACGGATTCCAACACTTCTCGGATTCAATTCGTTTGCTTACTTTCCACCTTCCACAAATATCCTCGAATTTTATAATGGTTCGGCTGCTTCTCGAGGATTCCTGGCTTTCTTTTGTGAGCGTAATTCAACAGCGGTCGGGTCGATTCTTTGAGTCCTGGGATAGCATGCAAAGGCGTTCGTGCATTTTATGAACCAGAGAGAGAGCTACCCAGATAAGTTTGGCAGCAATTCCCCTATGCAGAGAAGGTGGAGGCTTGGCTGGCCAAGTACAAGGCCAAATCAAGACCTTGCACGTATTGAACCACATCACGACACATCATCTGGGTGTCAATAAGATTGTGACTAAATCAATATTAAGCAAACCACAGGTACCCCACCGATAACTCTAGCGACAACAAGGTCCCGTTTATACTGCCCTTTATTTCAAATGAAGTAAGTGCAGTTATAAAACGCTGTTTAAAAAGGGCCAGTCTAGAGAATTCGGTAACGATAATCGAAATATCACCGAATAATCTAAGGCGCCAGCTAGTTCGTAACCGCCTATGCGACCGTCTATTTGCAACGCAAAATTGCATAATTTACCCCGATGGTAGAGACGGCGACTGCATGAGTTCGGGTTCAGTCTATCTGATCCCTTGTAAAGTGTGTGGGGTCGAATACGTTGGTGAAACGGGTAGACCACTTTGCATACGTATAAAAGAACACCTAGCCGGCAAACATAAACCAAATACCACGCTAGGCACACATAGGACCCAGAGACATAACGGGGAGGGCTTTGAAGTTCGTGTCACGATCCTCGCTCAAAAATCGAGGACACACGCGCACAAAACTCTCGAGGCGTTCTGGATTAATTCCAGAAATCCGAAGATGAACCGCAAAGAAGAATGCCTCATTATCACGCGTGATATTGGGCAGTATATAAGCTTGTTACTCTGATGGGATGAGCACAATGCGATTCCGTGTGAACTCTGTGCAGTTGGTCTTCACGCGATATACTCAGTGGAAGACTCATAGAAAGCGGTGAGTGTGCAGAGCTATGCTAAATGTGATTGAAATCTTGGTTTGGAGTTTTCTCTGCTTGGTTATGGAGGTGTTTAGCCAAGTGGTTTGCTGTCAACTTGACCCTTCCAGGCTCTGAGGAAGGCGAAATCCGCCGAAACGTCAGCTTGTGCGTAAATAAAGAAATAAAATAGCACCTCGTGCTTGCTGAACAGAAGTAGAAAGATATATTCAATATTAAGCTTCAATTAATCATAGACTGCAAACTCGTCCAGCTGTAAACTGCCCTCATTAAGTACCATTATCCAGGGCAAGTGAGCAATAGGTATCAGGATTTAGCGCCGATCATGTGGCCATGGTTTTTGCTAACATAAGATACGTAACTGTACTTCATGAGCCGTGAAAATGCTAACAAGCACTTCTGAAAGGACGGTAAACGAGGAAAACTGATTCACAGTCACGTTTGTGATAGCATTGCACCTCTGCACGATTTTCGGGTTGCTCAACAATTTTAGCGTAACTTAAAACTCTCTCTAAGGATAAATCTGTCGGCGTTGATAAATCCATGGGGGATGCGCCATGCATTTGATTCCATTAAGCATAGCTTGGAGGTGACTGAATGCATATCTGACCTTTACTCGCGGTGGCCTACCGATGTATCCAGCCAGTGTTGCTATCCTCCCAGACAAGTCTGGTATCAATTTACAGATCCCGGAGGATGGAAGGTTTGGTAGACTATGGGAGCGAGGATCGATTCCACGTGTAAGTTGCAAGGCGCCTCCAACCACTGCGCCACACGCGCTCTTGGTGTAACTTACTTTAGATAAACACGTTCGATTTCGAACATATTTTAGAAATTACAAAGAGGGCCGATGAAAAATACCGATCGTCATTTCTGAAAGTCATCGTCTTCACAGACGACTGAACTTGCTGCGTTTTGGATTCGATACAATGAGGACAATATCTCTTCTGCTAAGAACATCGGGAACCGTTGTTCATGAGTTTGCAACGAGACGAAAGACATTGGAAGCTTTGGATCAAGATGGATGCATTTCCTTCTCCGATACCAAAAAATATCCTACGATCAAATTGAATGACAAATGCATTTTCCACGGCGAGAAAGGAGATATGAGAGTTGCTAGAGGTGTTTAATCCTATTCGGAAGGTGGAAAAATATTCGCAACTTTTTCAAAAAAATTTTCACCCACGAAGTTACGGTAAAATCATTTCCTCATAACAAGATCTGGATGAAAGCGAATTTTTTCATTAAAAGAGATTTGTTTACAACCACCGCGTGAAAATTTAATGCAGTCAATGAGAGGGAAAATTCGGAAGAGAGAAGGTGAAAAACTGGAGCAGAAGATTTTCAAGCACAGAGTTTCGAGAATTCACGCTGAAAATCCAAAGAAATGAAGCTAATCGTAGGAGTTGGTAGTACTGGTTCATGGGAAGCTAAGGTTTTGTCTCGAAGAACAAACGGATAACTGGAAGCGAGTATCGATCGGAAGGGCGAACATATGTTCGACGGCACGGCCCACTCAGGCCCAGCGGCCACGAAGGAGGTGGGCCGCCACCGCGGCAATGCGCCTATCAGGTCTCTTCGTGGACCGGAATGGCTGGCCCCCACTGCAGGGTACTTGCCAGCTGCCAGAGTAACTCGTGGTTTCCTGTTATTCGAGATCGGAGATCAAAATGTTCACTATAATTCAACCGAAAGAAAAAATGTTGATAAAAAATAAAAAGAGTGCTCACTTGTTATTTTGCTAGAAGACTTGAACTGAAAAATAACTGGCTGGGAGACAGACGAAACGAAAGACCCGCATGGTGTGGTGGTGAACGTGTTAGCCCCGGAAAGGTAATACCGCGTTCGTTCCCCACTGCAGACACCTACGGTCTGGAGTTTTACAAATATCTCAGCGTCATTGTGATAAAAAATAAGTGCTAAACAGGCATAGTACTTATTCAGAATGTATAGTATAGTACAAGTTTATTATGTGTTCTGCTCTATTGGTGCAATCAGTAGTTCTCGACGTTTCACATCACTTGTGATGGAGTTGGACAGCAGAAGTTCTCATTGAAGAAATAAAATAATATTATGGAAATTTCGGCTTGAATTGAATTGAATTTTTTCCCGTCTGCCTCAAATGGTCTAGTTTTTCGAGGTGTGCGAATAACGCAGGAAGAATCGCATAGAATCCGACATAATTCACTCTTTTCGCTAATTTCTCCAGATCGCCATTTCCTGCTGTTCAGCTCTGAAGTTGACTTTTCGCTCATTTTGACCCCAGGATCCCACTAACGTTCGGTGACCCTCGCTCCGTTGATGGTTAAATGGTTGTTGAAAAAATTGTTTCTTCTGAATCTTAACTCTTTTATTTACTGCCTTTCTCTACTTAATGGCAGGGTATGTTGTGAAATATAACTCGTATGAAGTGCTGAGATATTTGCAAAACTCCGGACTACAGGTGTATGCAGTGGGGAACGAACACGCGCTGCTGTCCTTACCGGGGAGCAGCGCACTTCACCACATCCGGGTCACCGGATGGTGTAGTGGTGAAGTGCGCTGCTCCACGGTAAGGACAACAGCGCGTGTTCGTTCCCCACTGCATACACCTGTAGTCCGGAGTTTTGCAAATATCTCAGCACTTCATACTTATGTTTCTTCTGAGTTTTAACCGAAGAAGGTTATTCCATAAGAACTGTCGAAATTAGCTGGCATTCATCACATTTCGCTAGTGCTCAGAAGCGACGTTGTTAGCAAGTGGAAAACGGTGTAAGCGTCTACTATTAACTTCCACTCTCGCGCTATCCCACACTATATTGGCTCAGTTTTGGTGGAACAGTATCGCCTTAACGGGCCTTTCTTTCTGCTTAGGTAATAACTCAATTAGAAAGGTGAAGTCCTGGATGCGGTGTTGTTTGCATACTCGCTACCCAGAGCTCGCTGCATGCTAACTGCAGATGTCTGGATGCACAACGGTTCCGTGAGCACTTCTGTCTTAATTCACTCGAACGCCTCCTTAATGTCGATTATACGGATCTTCAAGATTTCTTGTGTTGTGCTTGCTGTTCCTTTAATATGATCCATGGTGTCGAATCATTCCCGAGGCATTTCTTGCCCCTCATATAGTAGCTCATTTCGCCGGCTTTTGTCAATCCTGAGGATCACCTGAATGCCATTGACTGAGAACTTTGATCTTTAATGAGAAGCATGGGATAAGCGGACAAGTGTCTTGGTGAATACAACAGGCTTCCCTGATGTTTAGGTCTAACACTGCAAAGACCGAATGCGCAACTATTCTTCATTTTCAAGGAACAGTGCCAACCAGCGACTGCTGCAGCATAGATTATCACCATGAAAAGAGATAATCATGAAGGGGCAATCAGCAAAGAACACTTCCCTATCTCCATGTAGTACCGAGTGAGTCACCTTATTCTCTCGATGCTCTACTGCAATCGATTTGACTCGATGCGATTATGAAGCCCCAGTAGGAAGAGCAATAAGGTAGTGTTTGAGATGACACGGTTTTTTTAGGGGGGTGTAACGTGAGCGTCACTGGTAGCAACTACTAAAATATGCATGGTGTTCGTGTACTGACTTATGAATGTCTGCAGACCTGCGGGGGAAATATGCCATTTTATAATGGATAGTATATGAAGACGAAAGAGTAATCATTCACATGAGTGTTTGGACGAATCAATAGAGT